GTATATATATATATATATATATGACTTATAACAACTAAACCGCGATGTAGTGTGTGGATGGTTTTGTTTAGTCAAACCCCGGACTAAAGCAAAATAGAACAGATAAATAGGAAAATGAGCAGAACAGACTAACTAATAAAAGAAACAATAGCAGTTTTTGGCACCAAAGTCGTCACCAGATAGCTTCATTAAACCAGTACCTATTGAGACACTTCGGTAATCTACCAACTGAGCTCTTAAGATGAGGACACTGGTAAATCAGAAACTGAAAGTAAAGTGTACGGTAAGCGCAAATTATGGATAAACAATGTGAAATGAATATACGTTCCGATTGTTCCGATGAGAAACACCAGTTACTTTTTGCTTTGTTTGATAGACTTTTTGGAATAAACTGTTCTTTGTTCATTTCAAATGATTTACTTTTCACTGTTACGTTTGTCACTCATCTTTTTCGTAACCACCTCCATCCTTTCAGTGCTTCAGAAGTTCGTCCTAGAGCTTTTAACGAACGGTCTTGATTTTTTTGTGCTCACAAGTACTGTCTGGTTTTCTTTTATCGTGTATGTGCACTTGCGTTCCAGCCGTGATCGCCTAAGTTTTACTTTATCTCACTTTTTCCTTCAGGAATGTCCTGTGATGTTGTTGGTACGTTGATCATATGTGTCTTTGATCTTTCGTTTATTCCATCTGCGAAATAGCAGAAGATGGAGAGTGAGCCAGCAATAGCATGTACTACATGGTATATCGTTCGTGGGAGTTCGTTCAAGTTGTGTAAAATCAACTAGATGGGCACAGATAAGAGCCAGTTAATCAAAATCGCTAGGTCTATTCACATTCGTTCCGCCATCAATCTGTTGCTAGTAACGGGAACATTTTGGACTGTGTGATTTATCGCCGGTTCACCTTCAATCAGCAGTTCACAATGTTCCCTCAAAAACTACCTGCCTCCTAACGTTGATTAATTAAAAGTATTTAAGTGTCGAAGCATGCTCTGCGTCAGTCGTTTGAAGTATCTTGTCAACTACAACCTAGTGCTCCTTCAAAGTGATCTTCACTCATGTTCCATTGTGTTTAAATCAAGAAACCCGTGCGAGGAAAACTCACCACTCACACATTTAAGGATTCCTACGACGTAGTGGCTAGTATTAACGACACAAACATAAACAGAATACGCATGTTATCACTCGACGTCAGTTCACTCTTCACTAACGTTCCCATTGATAAAACTATTGAATACATATGTGACTACATACAAAGTAATAATTGTGATGTTGGAATGCCAGTTGGTGGTCTCAACCAATTACTATACTTTTGCACACATAATGTACAATTCAAATACAATGACGAAGTATATCGCCAAATAGATGGAGTAGCAATGGGATCTCCTCTGGGTGCATTGTTCGCTGATATCTTCATGGCAAATCTGGATAATAACATTGTAAAACGAACAGCTGATCGTTGCATATTTTACAAGCGCTATGTGGATGACATTTTGTGCTTAGTCAGTGAGAGTGTGCATCTGTCAAGACTCTTGAACGTATTGATTTCAGCTCATCCAAACAATGAGTTTACTCTAGGGATCGAAGGGAATGAGCAGCTTGCATATCTGGACGTTCTACTAAGGTGTCGATCAGACGGAACTATCCACCGCGCCATCCACAGGAAGCCATCGTAGAAGAATCAGTTTATCCGTTTCAAAAGCTATGTGCCTTGGGAACGGAAAAAAACGTGATTTATTGCCTCGCTACCAGTGCGCGAAAAATATCTACGGACGATACCAATAGGTTCGCCACTAGTCGTTAGGAGTAGAACTTTACAATGAACTAACAGCCATTGATGAAACGCAGTACCTGAAGCGCGTGTTCTAAGACAACTATTCATCATCGCCGTTTTACGACATCAACCAGTAACTCGTTCTTGTCTGAACAAGAGAACTAGAGACAAATGTGTTCCTAAATCACCACTCGGCTACAATTTTTTGACCTAAACACAACAACCTCTCGCTATTTTCTTACATAAACGTGATTGGAATCACTTGGGAAGACATGTTTGCGCACGATCTGTGTTCTGAAACCAGTAAGAATTCAACTAAACAGAGGCAAAAATGACTGGTTCACTTCCGACTTTTCTGACTTTTCGGTTCTCTACTGTCTCTTAATTTGTACAGGACTAAGTTAAAGCTATAATGAGAATGCAACTAAGTTGTGGTCAAGTTACTTTGGTTATCATTATCACGGTTTTAATGTGAGAATCTCAGGACACTTGAAATAAGAGTCTAGATTTGTAGAAACAAACGACAGTCAGACAATTTTGGGACAAAAGTAAAATACAGTGACCAAAGTCAGTGCAAAATTTAAATAATCAATATGAAAAGGGATCGACAGGTAAAGTTGCTCGCTGCGCGTCTAATTTTCAACATAACATTAAAGTAGTCTATCATCTCTCATAGTCCATGCGAAAGAACTGAGGAAGAGTAGTATATACAAGTGGGAATAATAATACTAATAAAGGTGGACGATGCAAACGATAAGAGTGTGTTGAAAAGATTACTTTTGGGAAGGATATAAGGAGAAACAGAACGAGAACACCCACAAACTTACCATCACATTCAACTTCACATTCTTCTGGAGAGAGAAGGAGTGAGCAAAACAATTTGTGATGAACGAAACAAGGAAACCATAGCTCTTATGCGCTCAGTTACTTGATGCAAAGTTGACCAGGGTAAAAAAGGGAGCACAGATTCTTGAATGATGGATGCTGATATTTAGACTCACAGTAGTCTAATGAATGCAAATCGAGAACAAAAGAAAAACGCCTTGGTGATACACGTGCACAGATAGCCTGTGTCTCACTCAGCACACTGTTGCTCGGTGCAGTTTCTTCCTCAGCCTAATGAGTGTTATTAAAGAACAACCCAACAGCAGCAATCGGAAATGCAATATGTTTATCCAAAATGGATTGATAACCGATCACATGGTCTATGATATTCCTATTACGAGCTGCAGATCGCAAGTGAAATGTCTTGAAATTAACGTGAGGGTTATGAGCGCAGTTGTCAGATCATTCAGACAAGAAAACTAACAGAGCAATTGTGAACCTTAGTGAGAAGAAAATTCCGGGTCCAAAAGAGACGGCAAATATTACTTAGAGAACAAATCGGATAAAACAACAAGTCTGTTGGTTAAATAGAGAAATAGGCGAGCTCACCTGCGCAGTCCGATTCAGNAGTCCGATTCAGGATAGAAGGTGGAAAGATGCGGAACACAGTTAAATACTGGTGACTACAGTCTATTCGAGAGATCGCTAATGGCGTCCGATAACAGCATGAACATTGTTCCTTCAGCCGTATATTCCGTACACGGGAAATAATGCATGCCTACCACGATCATTATCATCGAACCGTGAAGCAAACTTCAATGATCGCTGCTAAGCTCACATTATATACAAATTAGGCGATAAAGCACAAGATGGAGAGGGATCGGGCTTAATTGGAGGGAGTCAAAGAAAGTGAACCTCTATGGACAACATACAGAGCACACAATCTAAGTGTGCATACATAACTTTTCAAGCATTCTGACCTGATAAGAAATGAAAACAAGAACGCCACTGATGTCCGTTCACTGCAATATCCTTCAGTACCTCCAACCAATCAGTTGCACAGTCTTTGGGACTCTAACCAAGAAAACGGGAGACACCTATTCTACCTAATCGCCCTGTGCATTTCTTCATACCTCGCTTCCACGTCACCTGTTGACCTCTACGTGGTTTCTTCCAACCTGGAACAGCAACTGTGAAAGAGGCACGGTGCGGCAGACGATGACTGGGCATGCGCAATACGTGTCCTAACCAGCGAAGGCGACTAATCTGAATTAGATGAGACAACGGATTCTCCATCGAATCATTGCCCAATACGCGACGCCTTACCTCAGAGGTGCTTACACGCTCGCTCCATCAAAGCCACGCCAAACTTCTTAAACATCGACAGTCGAAGACTTCTAGACGACAAATATCTTCCACACACAAATTTAAGGTCTCGCAACCATAAAGAAGAACTCACCGCAAACTGGCGCAGTATACACGACCTTTCAGTTTCAACGATGCATCGCGTCTGCACCAAAGGTGTTTCAGCCCTGCGTAAGCTGGCCGAATCTTCGAAGTATGGGCGGTTATTTCCTTTCCTGCGCTAAAGTCATTTGCCACGCAGCTACCTAAGTAGACGAAATTCTACTACAGATAATTCTTGACCATCAAGTATCAGCGACGGAATAGACGATACCCAATATCGGAACATCACTTTGCACTTTGAGGGTGCAAATGGCATACCGAATGAAGTAACAGAACTGGAAAGTCTGTGAAGAGCGCTTTACGCATCTTCCAACCATTCAAACAGGTTATTGACGTCGTCAGCGCACCTTGAATCGCACAGCTGTTTTCCACCGCCCCATTCAATACCGACGTTTTGGAGACCACTAACTGCGTTCTCCAGTAATTCATCTACGACGGAATTGCACAGGAATGGCAAAATAATGCACCCTTGACGAAAACCGTGCCTGGTTTCGAACGATTTACTTACCCCACCGTAGACCCTTACGATACCTGAAGTATGCAGGTACAGGAACGCAATAAGTTTACATACTTTTGCGGCTTGACGGTCAACTGAGTGCATCGCAATTCTAATTTGGTCCCACTATTGATCTACTCCACCATGTTGCGGTTCTCCTAGCTCCTGACCCAGCTTCTCCTCATAAAGTGCCTACCAATAGCTCAACCTCTGGCATGATAGCTGAATTGTAACTGAAAAAGAATGTAATACACTAACTCAAATCAAAATCTTGCCGGTGTTAGGAAAACCTTAAACCCGTACAACTGTTTGAACCATTGTTTTATTGAAGTAGCAAAAAGACAAATAAAGAAAGAAACAATCCTTAACGAAACATCACTTGTGAACAAGCATTGTGTGAAAGCAACTGTCAGTGTGTTTAGTAGGCACATGCGCATGTGAGTTATGAATGCACAAGACATGCCGTGTGGAGTTGACAGTTTGTGATATGTTCAAAGTGTGGATGTGCATAAACATAGAATGTGTTAGTCGCACACAGTACTGTCAGTGGTGGGTTCGAACTGTTAGGGGTGTGATTCGGAAACACAAAATGCGTCAAATGTGCCAAACGGTAGGAGTGGATTTCAGTTGTTTTTTTGAGACAGAGGGAGGGAGGTCAAATACAAACTACTGATTCAAGGTGGACTAATTCTGAATCACATAACCTACAATATCCCCTTACGAGCAAGCATATCGATCTCTAATTTACAGCGTAGGCTATGAGCCAAAAGCGTTACAACGCCGTTGTGGGGTGATTTGCACACGAGCACAAATATAAATGTATTGCGAATATCTGTAATTGTTCTGAGATACCACTCACTTGTGAGTAGTAGGTAACATAGTTGGTGATTACTTTCGACAATCAAAAGTTAAGAAGACCGCCGAGGGCAAATTGCTGTGTCTCAGAGAATAACTATCGATTGCTACGTTCATTACCCGTCGTGCGACCAGGAATTGCAATGGTATGTTTCTCATGAGATTTGCTGTGTTATGTATGCCAAATTACTGGTGTCCAATCTGTGATCCTCAATAAACGACTATCCTCGACCAGCATCGCCTTCAGGAATTGTAAACTAATCAAATATATACAGCAAAAATACTCTAAGCAACACAAGTAACCGAAAGGAATTAACACCGACAGAAACGAAAGGAATCGGCGAAATATAATTTAGAGAAAAGCACTTGCAGCCCGACGAGTATGGGAAATTACACAGCACAACACAGTCAATACGATATTCAGTTTGAGCTGAGTATTATCCTATTGCAACGAGAAGGCGAGTCGGCTGGCAAAACGTTTATTGATCCCATTCGAAAATAACCGGTGTATGTGTTCGATTATATACAATTAATTCTCAACCGCGCGGCCGGATGATTCATGCCTCATTCTGTTGGTTTTGGTCCGAACTTGGCACGTACGTTTTCTCTTCTTCCACGTGCCGTTCCGACTGCTTTGACCCGATCGTAGCGCGACGACTCCGACGTTGTGATATTCGGTGGATGTCTTTCTGGCTAGATGCGGATTGTCCACCGGGCTGTAATTGTCGATTCATTCGTTTGGAGTGGTAGTCGACATTGTCTCGCGAAGTACTTCCAGCCGCTACGTCTGCGCACCTGGTTGGATCGGCCCTATTCTTGATTCGTTCGCTAGCCGGGACTCTCATTATACCACCTTCCATCACACTCGCCTCTCCTTTAAAATTATTGCCACGGGTGTACCACCGCTCCAATTCTTTACCATTTACCCATCTTCCTTGACGACCCCGATTGATCCGAAAACTGGCGTTCTTCCTCTCCAGGACAGTGAATGGCCCCATCCACTTCTGCTTGAACTTTCCGGCCCCCGGTCCTGTTGTTTCGGGTTTGCCTTGATTCTCAACTTTTACTAGCTGTCCCGGTACGAACAGCTGCCACTCTTGTGATCGATGTTCTTTGTCGTACCTTGCCTTGTTATGCTGCTAGGTTTGTCTGGTTTTCTGAACCGCTTCTCTCGCTCCTTCGTGGAAAGTTGTTCTCCGGATCTTCCGAGAAGCGTATCCAGAGGAGTTCTGGGTTCTCTACCGTATATGACTTCGTAGGGTGGTATCTCCGTTGTCGAATGAGATGTGGTTGTGTACTTCAAAGGGGTTTCCGATAGGCTTTAGTCTCAATCACCGAGATGGTTATTGAGCCATTCCTTCATTGTTCTGTTGAACCGTTCAGTCACTCCACTGGTCTGCGGATGATAGGGGACGTTCTTGTTCGTTTGGTGACCCAGCGGTCTAAGGTCTCCCGAAAATTCTTGGATTCGAAACACTGTCCCTGGTGGGTAAAGACATTTTCCGGGATGCCGAATCGTGCAACCACATTGTCTATACATATCCCAGCAATTGTTTCTCCTGTTTGATCTAAGGTTGGTACCGCTTCCACCCAGCGAGACACGAGTTCGACCATCACAACAATGTACTTGCTCCCTGTTGCACTAATAGGTAGAGGTGTAAACACATCCAGTCCCCAGGTTTGAAGTACTCTCTGGGTGTCTATTGGTTGCATTGGCGGTGTTGATGGCGTCATATATTTAGTATGTTGGCACTCGGGACAAGAACGGGTGTATTCAATTACATCCCGACGCATTGTTGGCCAGAACATACGACGTCGCAACTCGTTGCAGTCACATGTGTGCTTCATCGTGTGCAAGCTTCAACACTCTTTCGCGAAGACCAGCTGGGATGAATGGCAGTCGCCTAGGTCTCAGTCCGTGTTCCATGTTCACTTCAACCACCAAGCTCTCATTGTCCGAATGCGGGCGATCCCATATATTCAATAATTCTCCTGTTTCGGGTGACATTTCTTCCGGCCTCGTTTCTGATTGCAGATGGTTCGCACCAGGCCGTCTTCTTTCTGATATTTTTTAATCTCCACATCGCTAGAAACCAGGATGGCTTCCGGTAGAACATCATCGTTGATCGGACGCGACAGGAAGTCAGGAATCCCATTATCTTTGCCGTCAACATGTTTAACGGTAAACGTCAATCCCTCAAGAAGTTACGTCCATCGCGCCAGTCTTCCTCTTGGGTCACGCGCCATCATCAACCACGTCAAGAGTTTGTCGTCTGTCTTGATGTGGAACGTATTCGCAATCAAATACATTCACCATTTCTCCCATACCCATACAATCACCAGGCACTCTTTTTCAGTGGTCGAGTACTTCGGCGTCTGTGAGCAGGCGGCTGGCATATTCAATTACTCCGGATGGTTGTGATAACATTGCTCCGATTCCAATGTCGATAACACCGACGGCCACAGCGAAGGGTTCTGCAGGGTTTGGTATTTTCAGACATCTCTCAGCTGCCGTAGTTGTTTTCAACTCTTGGATGACCGTCTCCAACTCTGGAGTCCACTCAAACTTACTGTCCTTTCTCAACAACTGGAACAAGGAGCAGCCTTTTCAGGGAAGTTCGGCACAAATTTTGCGTCGTATCCTAGTAATCCCAAAAACGATCGAAATTGGCGTTTGGACTTTGGAGGGTAAACATTTCGAATCGCATCATCCTTCTCGAAGAACGGTTTAAATTAACCTCCGCCAACAATGTGATCCAAACAGGTGATTGTTTCCCGAGCGATTTGGCATTTCTTTGCATTTAGTTTCACACATGCACTTTTGATTCTCCAAGCACCGTTTCCAGCTGATGAACATGTTCCTCTGGTGTCTTCGAGAACACAACAATGTCGTCTCCGTACGCTACAACCCCGTCAAAGTATCTGTAGCAACAGACGTCTGAACGTATCTGGTGCATTGCACAGGCTGAACGGTATCCGAACAAATTCGTATTGCTGCCCGTTGACACAAAACGCTGTTTTTTCTCTGTCGCTGGCTGTCAATGGTAGTTGCCAATACCCCGGCCTCAAGTCGATTAGTGATAGTACCCGTGCAGAGTGGAGTTGTTCGTGTCAGTGGCATCGGAAAGGCGTCCTTTATTGTAACACGGTTTAGTTCTCGAAAGTCGACACAGAATCTTTAAGTACCATCAGATTTTCTAGTGAGCGGCACTGGTGACGAGTAAGAGTTGGTACTTTTACAGATAATACCTTTTGACAGCATATCACGCACTTGTTTCTCCACCCCCGACAGTACCTTGTAAGTATCCATCGGCACACAGGCTTACACACGGCTCTTGGAATTATTTCTATTTTGTTCTCCAACCGCTCACAGAATCCATACTCGTCGTCTGTAATAGAAAACAACTCAGAATACTTTTCAACACATTAACACATGTATTTGAACACTCCGGAACGGCCGATTTCCTCACAACGCTGACGAAGGCATGCGTTTGTTTTCTTGAGTTTAATTCGTGTGTTTGCGATCCTACGAGCAATTTCCCTCCCACGAAATCAATCTTCGCACCCACGCGCCTGAGGAGACCGACACGGATTATAATCTCATTTACACGTTCGATCAAGAACGTCTCATGGGTAACGGTCACCCCGCCAATCTGCACGCTGACACATTGTTCACCCAGGACTCTGAGTGGTATACCCCCAAATGCACGTACGCTCAGATTGCACGGTTTTGCCGGAACCCCTTCCACCCGAGGCATAATGGAAATCTCGGCACTCGTATCAATAACAGCCATCTCTGATCGTCCCAAAATGAAAACTTCGAACCTTGGAACCCCACGGGCAGTCGGATTAAAAAGAGAAAAACACGAACGAATGTGGTGGTTTGGACAAAAACGGGCAAAATGCCCTATACCGTGGCAACTGAAACACCTTTCTTGCGATCCGCCCTTGAGTTACTCCTTCAGTCTTGTAATTTCTTCAAATATTTGTTCAATATTATCCTCAGTTTCGGCAGGATCCACCCGAGCAATCACGTCATCTTTTTGATAGGCTTGCGCAATCAAAATTAGGCGGTCTGCATCGTTCACCTCGCACGCCACCGCAAGTCTGTTTGTCTCTCATCTATGCCGGCATGTTTTTTATGAACCGGTCCTTGGCCAGCCTCTCTCGTGTTTCATTGTTTGCCTCCGGCAATCCCAGAAGAACTTGTCGCTTTATGTATTGGTAGTGAGATGAAAGTGCAGGCTCAGAAACGCGATGCGAACACGGAGTGGAGCTGGTCATAGTTACTCATGCCAAGATGTTTGTAACCTGACGTATGCGAGTAGTCGTGATGGCATTTTGTGCACTATAGAACGTAGGATAGTGTGCCACAAACAGAAGTGATCTGACTAGTGCAACTAAATCAGGCGTGATACAAGCATGATTGTGTCGGATTAGCCATTATTGATGTGTTTGTGTGTTAAGTAATACAGCATACTTTGTATCATAGATCCATGCTACTCGGTACCTACACGCAATCTGCACACTTACACTGAATCGCCTCAAACAAAACTAACTGAATCACAAGTAGTAGTGCAATATGCAACTATTTAAAGCCATTTGAGTTAAATGTGTAGGATTACCCTGTTTCGGCTTGCACCAGATAACGTATTACTATTACTTCATTATTAGTATTATTGCTATTTTATTACTTTAAAACGGTCAGTGTCACCGCTCTAGCAACATGGTGGTTGCGATTTCAAATACGACCGCCGCTGCCCATCTTACCCATTTTCGTATTTACCCAGACAGTGTTTGATTGACCGAAATGACCTTCCTGGAAATTGACTGTCTCCATATATAGTCAATAAATGAAACGGGGTAGAGAAATTATTATTGTTATTATAAACGAAGCACTGCAGCAGTGGTGATACGGTTAGAGTGACTCAAAGGTTCGAGGGTCGAGTCCTGACGCTGCCGCCACCCAACTTTGGTCGTGGTGATCCCCGCTGTCGTTTGAGTCATCAACAGTCCTGTATGATTTCAGATCTATCACAAAGAGACTACACCTAGAGGTGGTGTGATTGCTTGCGTGCCTCCATGACCCTGCGAGCTGCACAGGATGGCTTTTCACAGCCGCAGATCCAATCATGACTGAAAGGTCAATGGGTAGAGAGGCCAGTCAAAGCTCTATCCCAAGAAGCCACTTGACTGTGCACTTCCTGGCTCCCTTTGATTCCACTGTCGCCCCTGCAGAGACCACTCCAGCAAATACACACGGGGAAGAATAGTCTACCGGTCAAGAACCCCGCTAAATGGAAATAGCAACGGGATACCTGGGGCTTCCTCCCGACGGTGGGAGAAGTCTTCGCACTTCATGGGATGGTTGTCGAACGCCCAGGCTGAGCAGCCCCCAGCAAATAAGGTGCTGTCTCGTCCACGTTTCGCTTGTCTCGTTGGACACATGAGACTAAGGGCCAATCCCGAACAGCGGACCGAAAATCAACGCACCCGCGAAAATTACACCGAATCAAAACCCTAAGTCCTTCTGTGATACACCTCTAGAAGCTCTAGAAACTTAGCTAGAACCACTGAAACTTTCGATTTAAACGGATACCGTCTCCGAGCCACACCTAAAAACCCCACTTCAATTACAACCTTGAGATCTCCAGACCCAACCTCATCGTCACGCTTCACTCTCCATGTGTCAGGCGGTTCGGCATCCGAAGCTCGCGATGTTCGTGGTATCGAATTTGCACTAATTGCCATGGTTGAGTGCTCGCTTTTTGACTGGACTACAGTGAGTAGGCAACTGTGGGCTATATGTCTCGACGGTTCGGTACGGGTCAACAGATACGGAACGAAGCATCGGTGCTTAATCTTCATTTCCGTGTAGGTAATAACCGCTGGCAGTAGAACTAAAATCAAGGATGAATTCTACAAAGATTGTTCTTTAACTGCTCCAAAGTGATCAATCAACGGACATCAGGGTAGTCGCTAGAGACTTAAAGGCTCA